GGGGGGGGGGGGGGGGGGGTCTCACTATTTTTTGCTTCTAATCTTTTTTTTTTTTTTGTCTTAATATATCATGATTTGGTGGCTGCTGGCCAATACAGGTATTGAACCCTGGACCTTGGTGATATCAGCACTAACTGAGCTGGCTCTCAACTGAGCCAGCCTTCAACAGCATGATTTTTAAAGACTGCATAGTGTTTTATTGTATGTTTGTTCCATAATTCCCTTAACCTAGTTCCTCCTATGTGACATTTAAGATTTTCTACGTTATTGCCAATAGCTATGTGATGACTTGTCTTTTTTGTGATATCTTTATACTTATCATTAATTTTTCTTAGGATAAATTTCTAGATGTAGAATATCTAAGTCAAGGGGCTTTTGATCTGTATCACTTAATTATCCAGCTGGAAGTTGTACCACCTTATATTCCTATCAGTGTAATATGACTGTTCCCATTTTTTGCCCTTTCTACATGATTCTTTTCTTATTCTTTGCTCTCCAAGGGCAGGAATATTTGTATGTTTTTGTTCATTGCTGTATATAAGATACTCAATAAATTTTTATTGGGTGGATAGCTAACATTGTATATCTGCATATGGCATTTATTAATGAAAATACCATGACATTTTTCTTTTACAGTAGCTTACCAGATACTTCATTCAGTAGGAATATAATTTACAATTTTTGATAAAGTGTAAACAATGAATGCTTGGTTGAGTTATTTGCAAGATTTTGGGCAAGAAGGAATTCCCTTCCCCTCCCCACTAATGTAGATAATGTTAAGTAAAGGAATGGATAATTCCAATCATGAGATATTCTTCTCTCTTTCAGGTGTGCTGTAGAGTCTTTTGGTTCAACAGCACATCATCAGAAGCCCCCCTGTGAGAGTGAGTTGTCTCAATTGACATATACGCATGCTAGTGTGAGCAGGCTGACCTATGTGTCTGAACAAGAGAGCACCTATCCTACCACAGCTACAGGTTATGACCCAGAGGACCATAAGGTGGGCAGGTACTTGGATTATATTTTTAGAAAGGCTTCCAGCTATAAAATGTTCCTGATATTTGATTCAGACTGAAGCTCAAGCCTCTATAATTCCTTCTTACTATTTTACCTTTAAAATGAATTAGTGTGGGGGGGGGGGGGGGGGGGTCTCACTATTTTTTGCTTCTAATCTTTTTTTTTTTTTTGTCTTAATATATCATGATTTGGTGGCTGCTGGCCAATACAGGTATTGAACCCTGGACCTTGGTGATATCAGCACTAACTGAGCTGGCTCTCAACTGAGCCAGCCTTCAACAGCATGATTTTTAAAGACTGCATAGTGTTTTTTGTGTGTTTGTTCCATAATTCCCTTAACCTAGTTCCTCCTATGTGACATTTAAGATTTTCTACGTTATTGCCAATAGCTATGTGATGACTTGTCTTTTTTGTGATATCTTTATACTTATCATTAATTTTTCTTAGGATAAATTTCTAGATGTAGAATATCTAAGTCAAGAGGCTTTTGATCTGTATCACTTAATTATCCAGCTGAAAGTTATACCACCTTATATTCCTATCAGTGTAATATGACTGTTCCCATTTTTTGCCCTTTCTACATCGTTATTTTCTTATTCTTTGCTCTCCAAGGGCAGGAATATTTGTATGTTTTTGTTCATTGCTGTATATAAGATACTCAATAAATTTTTATTGGGTGGATAGCTAACATTGTATATCTGCATATGGTATTTATTAATGAAAATACCATGACATTTTTCTTTTACAGTAGCTTACCAGATACTTCATTCAGTAGGAATATAATTTACAATTTTTGATAAAGTGTAAACAATGAATGCTTAGTTGAGTTATTTGCAAGATTTTGGGCAAGAAGGAATTCCCTTCCCCTCCCCACTAATGTAGATAATGTTAAGTAAAGGAATGGATAATTCCAATCATGAGATATTCTTCTCTCTTTCAGGTGTGCTGTAGAGTCTTTTGGTTCAACAGCACATCATCAGAAGCCCCCCTGTGAGAGTGAGTTGTCTCAGTTGACATATACGCATGCTAGTGTGAGCAGGCTGACCTATGTGTCTGAACAAGAGAGCAGCTATCCTACCACAGCTACAGGTTATGACCCAGAGGACCATAAGGTGGGCAGGCACTTGGATTATATTTTTAAAAAGGCTTCCAGCTATAAAATGTTCCTGATATTTGATTCAGACTGAAGTTCAAGCCTGTATAATTCCTTCTTACTATTTTACCTTTAAAATGAATTAGTGTGTGTATAAATAGTTCTTCATGCTGAAATGTAGAGGTACAAACATTTAGTATCTGCCCTCAAAAAGCTGTCAGTGTGGTAGAAGACACTGTGTAATGAAATATGTACTGCATATATGCTATGGGGATTCAGAAGATGGAGACTAAAAATATGAGTGGGGGATGGTTCAGCAAAGGTTTGTGGGAGGAGTAATGTATTGAAGCCATATTTTGCAGGATTACTTGGAGTTAAGGAGGGAGGAAGCAGAATAACAATTGGAGGAGGGTGTGGAATTGTGAGATGCATGCTGCATTTGAGGCACTCCAGGAAGTTTAGGATGGCTGCAGTGAATGAAGAGTCTTGGATGTAAAATTTGGAAGTTTGAAGGCTTTTAAGTGGGACACTGACTTGATCAGTTTCAGTGTTTTAAAAGATCACTCCAACAGCTGCATGACAGAGGGATTAAGCGGGGAGCAAGATTAGAATCTGGGAGATATGACATGAGGCTATGGTAGTAATTCAGGCAACAGACTGCGGGCTTGGGCTAAGGTCGTAGCTGGGGGATAGGAGAGGAGACACGAGAGGTTTATTCAGGAGAATCTAGTGTGCTGTTATCTCTGTGTGTGTATTTTGTGAATGTGACAGAACTCATTTTTACAGTGAGCTAAGTATGACTGTTGTAGGTGTGCTGTGTAGGCCTCCTCCACTGAGCTCTAAATATATGCACTAGAGACGCTAAATATATGATGTAAAGTTAGGTAAAACGTTATGCCTATTTCATTGAAAGTTATCTTTTTGATGTTACTTTTAGATATTGAGCCTATATATTCCTAGCATAGTGCTTAAGAGCTGAGTTATGGAGTCAGACAACCTCTCCTCTGCTACTTCCTCAGACAGAATACTAAACTTCCCAAAACCTGTTTCTTCATCTATGAGGAAGAATAATATATGAGGGCAATGCTTGTCACCTAATAAGTCACTCCTGAGTACATATCATTTGTTATATTAACAACTGGCCAATAATCTGGTCATTGTTGTTCAGTGTCTTTGTTTCTAAAACTTTGTCCAGGAGAAATTTCCAAACCAAGTACCAAAAATAACCAGTGAGGGATAAGTATGACTTGTGTATAAATTCCAGCCGGTCCATCCTGCAGAGCTATAGATATCACCCTTCAGGTTATGCATTATAAAGAAATAAGTATGTAAACATTCATTAGTTCATACTTAAGAAAATAGAACCATGCAAGTTTAGAAATTGAAAAAAGCTTACTACTCGTAAAAATTAACATGTTCAGCATACGCAGCAGTGAAGACAGATAATGGGAGGGGAGGGCCCAGTAGCTGCTTCGTGTTGATTCTTAACCAGCTGTTGACACCATTTGAAAGCTTACTTGCCCCCACTGTTACACTTCCCTCTGTGCAACTGAGACGGAAAAAAAGAATCACTCAAGGTAACATGAATAAGGCCTGGAGGGACTGCCGCACATCAGGGGAGCAGCCCCGATTCAAAATCAGCCTTTCTTTTTATTGACAAGACAAGGAAGTTTCACAAGAAAAATCAGTTGATGAAGTCATCAAAGAAAGGCATAAAAACAGGGAGTTACAGAAGTGACTTATGGCTAAGTTCAGCTTTAAACAACTGAAACCAGTAATAGCAGTAAAATTAACAATGTGACATTCCAGAATGCAATTTATAAAAAGCTAAGTTGATCCATCAAACAAACAGCTTGTCCTTAGCAAACATTTTCTTTTCCACATACTTCCTACAGCGATTTCCTTAGCATATTTAAACAGCGTTCAAGCAGTTTCCTTAGCATATGTTAAGAACAATGAGTAGGTTAAATAGTCAATAGTCCTTTGAGCTGGAATCAAACCAGCGACCTAAAATAATCCGACCTAAAATAATCAAAGTACACAATCCCATCCCTAAATAGTGATTAGAATTGATTAGATGGCTTTTGCCAAACTTATCATGGACTGTTGTCCCCTACTCAAGGGCTATAGCCCCATGCATGCGTTTACCTAAAAGTCCTATTCTAAGATCAAAGGAGAATCAAGATTTCTAACCCACTACACACTCCTTTGTTACTAATTTATTTAGAGTTTTATTATAAAGTTTACAGGAAGAAATCTCTTAAATTTGCAAAAAAATTACTTGACTGGTCTTTTATCTATGTAAAATTTTCAGATGTAATTAGTGTATACCTCCTATTTATTTTCCTCATATTATAATTCTTTTTATAAAACAATGAATGCAGATTTTCTAATGTAAGCCTGCATTTCACAACTGCAAAACTACTTTTTTTGTGTAAACCTACTTTTTCAGAGGGATAATGTAATGTAGATCTTTTTATTACATTACTTGAGACTGTCAGCATCGTTTGAATTTGTTATATTCAGTTTATCTGGATTATTTTAAAAATATTTTTGTCACACTCAGAGTGATATCACCAGTGAGTTGAGCACCACGATTATTCAAGCCAGTCCAGCTCCATCAGAGGAACAGGCTGTGGAAAAGTCAAGAGAAAACGTTCCACTTCAGAGTAGAGGAAAAGGAACATTATCATCTATTATCCAGATCAACAATGATATGAAAAAACTGATTGAAACTACTTCTCTGGATAGCAAACTCGAAGACATAAAATCTAACTTTAGAGCCAGTAAAGATTCTTCCTCCAAAAATGGAGATCTGTCAGAAACAAGTCAGGTAGGTTTGACACTAAACCCCAGTGAATTGGACCTGATCAGTTTGGCTCTCCTTAGAAAGTCAGGTCTGAGCCCTCGGGCTGGGGCAGCCATGTCACACCTCCCTGTGTCATGCCAGGAGTCTGTGAGAGAAGATCAAAGAATAACCTCTACAGATATGTCAACTGCCAGCAGTGAATTCTGTGGCCCAGTCACTAATGGGCCCACCTCTGGAACCCAGCATATGCCTGTTCCCAGTGTCATGGTTCCTGGTTGTGCTGCTGCGATGCAGAACGTGCCGGCTGCAGCTCCTATGCTCTTGACTCCACATTCTCTTAGCACAGCTTCCTTTGCCCAGCAGTATTTGGGAGCACTGTCTTCAGCTGGAAGTGTTGCTTTCCCTCAGTGCCATGCTGGCAGCGCCACAGTCTGTGGGTTCTCAGGAAGCTGTCCTTACCCTGCAGTCCCAGGAGAGCATGTGCAGAACTCGGTGGCTGTGGGACTTTGTCTAGGACCAAATATCGGCTCTGGATTGATGAGTACCTCTTCCCTTTGTAACCCATATTCTAATGCCTTAAATCAGAACCTGCTAAGCACAGCAAAACCTTTTCCTGTGCAATCTGTTGGTGCAAATTGTGGAATTGAACCGTGGGATTCAGGAATGATGTCAGGATTTGGTAAGATGTTTTTTCTCTATTATTATTGTTGCTTGCTATTATTTAAAAGTTGAATTTTCTCAAATGAGACCATAAAACCAGTTTGTTTCAAGGAGATACTTACTGGTTGGTCTTAATTTGTTGTCTTTTTTCTTTGTCCTAAAGTGGGAACACCATAACTATTTCTGTGCAAGGGTTCCTGAAATTGGCTTATGTAAGATAAGATTGTCTCTACCCAACCACTTCCCTTTCATCTGTTGGTGCAAATTGTGGAATTGAACCGTGGGATTCAGGAATGATGTCAGGATTTGGTAAGATGTTTTTTCTCTATTATTATTGTTGCTTGCTATTATTTAAAAGTTGAATTTTCTCAAATGAGACCATAAAACCAGTTTGTTTCAAGGAGATACTTACTGGTTGGTCTTAATTTGTTGTCTTTTTTCTTTGTCCTAAATTGGGAACACCATAACATATTTCTGTGCAAGGGTTCCTGAAATTGGCTTAGAAAAACATTAAAACTTAAGCAGGTGAAAAGCTGCTTATGCCTTTGTCATCCTTATCCTTCTTTTGCTCCGCAGTGGATTTTTGGTTTTTTGGTTTTTTTTTTTCAATTTGGAAATGGATCCCAGAATGAGTGAATCACCTTCCACCTTGTAGATAGGCCTTTGAGGTGTAGCTGTGATCGTAGTGACAGAGTGCGCTCTTCTACTCTCTACTCTTGTCTGTGGGGTTGCTTCTGTCTTGCTGACAGTCACTTTGTTCAGCAGAGCTGGATGCTGTACTTTTCAAGTTGTGGTACACACACCCAGTGGAGTGTGTCTGCCTTCCAAAGTAACTGCATGAGGACGATGAAAAGATTGGTGGTATTATTAGAAATCTCAGTAGTTGTGCACATCTGGAAAGTTAGAACTTTAGTAGTTTCTTTTTAGGTTAGGCAGTAGTTTATAGTGAGAAGAGGAAGAAATTACTAACTGGTAATAACATCAAAGAGTTGATTAGCTGTAATTGAGAGTTTGATCAGGATTTTTTGTTTTTGTTTTTGGGTTTTTTTTTGGCAGCTGGCCTTTATGGGGATCCGAACCCTTGATGTTGGTGTTATAACACTGTCCTTTAACCAACTGAGCTAAGTAGCCAGCCCTTGATCAGTTTTGGTTTTTTCCTCTAGGCTAATTGTTCGCAGGCCTCTGCTGAGGCTTTTACAATGTCAAGCTGCTCTTGGTACTGTAGCTCGTGGGTGTAAACAGGTAGTCTTACATAATAATTTCCATTGAACCAATTGTGCTTTTAATCTGTTGTAACTTGCATTTTGTCATGCCTTATTCTTAACGCAGGGAATGTAAGAGTACCTGAGGAGCTGCAGTTTCCTCATGCTTGCTGTGTCGGTATTGCTTCACAAACTCATCTTAGTGCACTCAATCCAACTGACCGCTGGCTGCAAGTCAGCATTGGGGTTCTCAGTGTTAGCGTTAATGGTGAAAAGGTAAGCTTTCTATCTCTTTCTCGGTGGACTTAATGATTACGTGATGATTAAATGCTTGATTTCTCTTTTCTCTGCCGCTAGTCTATACCTCTACCTCCTTAAATACCTTGCGTGCCATCACTGGAATGGGTTTTTCTCGGTCCCCCTATTGTTATAGTACTTACAGCGTATGGTGAAATCTGAATGTTTTGCATTTTCTATCAGTTAATTATTAATCATTATTTTTATTATTTATAAAATCATGCAAATTTGCTTTTAGTGCTATTATTTAAATCAGTGAAAGCTCTGATTTTCTGGTCTCTCCTCATTGGTTTTGTTCTATGTGATTGAATATAAGTTTTATAAGTCATTTATCAAATGAAACAAGTTACTTTTAGGGCCTATGCCTTCATTTAGTAAGGGGAGTCTTTTTGACTTGTGTATCTGATCATTTTCTTACATAGTCTTTGGAAATACCTGGAAATACAATTTTAACATTAACTCTTATAGCAAGGATCTCGCACATGATCAGTTACAGCTGCTGCAGTTCTATACTCTAAATGTCCTTTACTGATTACAACGATCATTTGAACATGAGTGAGTAGAGAGGGTAGGAAATACTGTCAGCAGCTCCTGTTTGGAAACGTTCTGGTTTTGTAGCTGCTACTTGTGCACCAGCATTGGGGGATGGGTTTACTCTTCCCTCTTACCTCGTTCCTTGCCTGGTAAGATAAGATTGTCTCTACCCCACCTCTTCCCTTTCCTAGATTTTCCCCTCTCCTTTCAGATCCTCAGGTTAGATGAAAAGCAGGTGATTTTGAGGAAAGGGTTGAGGAGGATGTAAGGTGAGATTTGAAGACTTTCTAGGGACATCTAGGGGTCTGTGAATGAAGTAGTGTTGTCTATGGAAGTGGGAAGTAGAAAGAAGTTCCCCATTTATAGTGAAGAGCAAGAGGTGGTCCGAGTCATAACCACAGACATGGGGGCTGGTTGAAGACTTTAGAGATCAACCTAACCCTCACCACCACCCCCATGCTCTGTGTACATGCAGAAACCATATCCTAGAGAGATTTCCAGGGCTGTGAAGAGCTACCATTTTCATGTATCTGCTTTTAAACTAAACTAGGGGGACACAGTCTTTATGCAGTGAGAACAATCCAACTTATGAAGTGATTTGACTAATTGTACTGTAAAAATAATGAGTTATAAGATTTGGATGTTTTTGAAGAGGTAATAAACGTCTAGGTATGGTAGTTCAAGTGACTGGAAAAAGGAGTCTTAAACTAGATGATTCTACTTCTTGATTTTCAGTATGAAGCCCTTTCCTAACAAACCATGTGGCTCTTTTTTGAAGGTGGATCTTTCAACATATCCTTGTTTAGTTTTTAAGAATAAAGTCATCATAAGACCTCATGCCACAGAAGAGATAAAAGTACTTTTTATACCATCTGATCCTGGGATTTTCCGATGTATATTCAGTGTTGCTTCTTGGCCGTTTTCGGCAGATGTTGAGACGATAGCACAAGCGGAAGCTTTGGCAAGCAGAGTCGTTCTCACTGCTATCGCCGAGACCCCTGCCATTGAGGTAACTGTAAATGAATCTTTGTCATACCTGTAAATGAGTCATAACTATAAATGAGTCATAACTGTAAATGAGTCTTTGTCATACCATTTTTAATGAAGGCTGTTTAACCTTAGAAGTAATACTTGGGAAAAATGAATTTGTAGGCAAATGAGCCACAAAGTTACTTTCAAGTAGACATTGGTTGTTAATATCTTATTTCAAAATTTAACATTATTTTTGTTGTTTTACAGAAGCATAGATATACTTGCTAAGATGTTTATAAAGCAGGGTATAACATCAAACCCTTTTTTCCAACTGATTTCCATTGTATGATTAGATATTAGTCCGATTCTGTTGCTTATAACAAAAAACCTGAAACTGGGTGATTTTCTTTTTTTTTTTTTTTTTTTTA